TAAAAAATATAAAACAACTTTATTTAACACTTCTAAAAGAGTCCTATCCAGTACGATCGGCCACCAGGATTATGAATAGCAGTTTGTTGAGGATTAGTGAAACACCACTCGTACCAAACTTTAGTCTTTGACACTTTCCTCCAGAAATGTAAAGTCACATTGCCACCGTCAGGACAATATATAGGAGTCTTAATTGGAAAAAAAGCAGGAAACCAGCTAAACATTCCTGGTGACGACGAAAATGGGTGAATACTCAATACTACATCCTTGTACAAGACCATATCAAAAAAGCCCGCAACTCCATTAATCATTGAACCCTTTTTAACATTAAATTGTAATTCAACATAGCGCTGATTATTAATGGGATTTTCATAGTTAGGATGCACAAACTCAAAAACTGGTTTCGGTAAATCTAAATAGTTGACATTCTGGAGTCGAACAACATACGGGCATTCAAAGTGTGACTCAGGCAATTTGCCGACTTCCTTACACGCCGACACTTCGGCAAAAAGTTTAGGAGAAGACAATGGACAAGCATAAGAAGTATATTTAGATGGTATACTAATACCATCTTCTTTTAGAAATTTTTGAGCTCCGTCTAAGCATTCAGGTGACAGTTCATTATCTCCAAACGAGCCTAATAATTCGCTGACTAAAATATCAGCTTTTTCTGGAGCCACATAATGTCGCATGTCAGACGAAACAACTGTGACTAATCCATTCCATTCTTCTATATTTAACGTTTCAAGAGTTACTATTGCGTTAGGATTTTTTTCAACCGCATAAAGTTTTACCTTGCGTTGAGCATCCTTAGCGGCATTAAAAGACGCTCTTACTAAGGGACCTCTACCAGCTCCAACTACCATGATAACCGTTGTAACATCACTGACTTTGTGATCAGGAACCCTATCGATTAGTGCTTTATAAACAGCGCGTTGGTACTCTGCATATTTTACGGGATCTTTTTCAAAAACTTCGTAGGTCTGCGACTCTAAATTTTCCATCAACGGCTGCAGCGGGGTTTGTAAATAATCTTCATAACCTTTAGAAAATTGCTCTACGACATCGCTTGTATCACGAGTAGTATACAAATGATCTAAGTACTGATAATAAAAACTTATGTTTTTATGTAGTACAGCTCCAGAAATGATAAATTGGATTCCCAATTTAATAAATTTAGCTAACACTACTTGAAACTCTTTACTAAGAACTGGATAGCCTTTTTTATTAGTAAGAAAAACATGAGTAGGAATAATGACTGCTTTAAGAGGTTCACCTAACCACCTTTTAATAACATCGTCATCTTGAATATTCTTTGAGTTAAGCTCAAGAACAGGATTTAGTTTGCGATTATAGTCACAAAGGTTGCGTAACTGATTCCACCACTGCCAAGAATCGTTGGCATAAATTGGTTCACGAGACCCTTCCTTCATAGGTTTATTATCACATAAGTCATATAACGAATGCAACGGAACATGAACCCATATTTGTTGAACATGAGTATGAAGAAGAGTATCGTTAATAATTTGGGCCATTTGGATATTATCGTGCATCTTCAAACGTATCATAACGGCAGGTAAACTAAGATGACATGCAAAAGAAAGTTCTTGCTTAATTGCCATAATAGAATCACGTTGAGTTTTGGGACACTTGGAGTCAACATTTATCCAGGACGATATTTTTCCTACAACTAAACTGCTCCAGTCTGATCCAGGTAGCAACAAATCACATCTCGTAAATGCACCAGAACGTACTGGGCTATCTTGACTGTCGAACTCGCGCTTGTATCGAGGATGAACAATTGGAACTGAGACAAAATCATAGCCAGATCCAGAAGCAAGTGTAAGTGCATTTCTTATGTCAGGAACACAAGTGAAATCTCGGCCACAAGAAATATGATTCGAATTCGGCATTACTTTATACTTATACTATAAAAGAATTTAAAAATGTCTACAATAAAAAACAACAAAAGGTTACACAGAAATTATACACAAATGTTTCACTTATTCGAAAAATCAACAGAAAACTTAAGCAGTTGAAAGAGAAAGGAATTGTAATTATTAGTGGCGGATCGGATTTTTATATTTTAAAAAATATCTAAAAACAGAAAGAAAATTGAGTTAATTCATTATTGTCAAATCTTTTTTCAAATTACCTTTGCCATGCTCTATTTTTATTATATATATAAAAAAAAAACAGAATTAAAGTTCAGCAAGTATTAGAATTTGTCCATTTTCCATAAAATGCCAGTCCACCACCAAATATGGAATAGAAAAATATTAACACACATAAAACTAAATTGCGAGCTACATTACATTAATGACAATAAAGTCAGTAATTTTAAAATACATAAGTTATTTTCAAAGGACCCCACCACAAACCTTTTAGCAACACGCTTAACTTGTTTCTAAGTGTAGCAACTTTAATCCAAAATACATTTTTCTAATAAACTATTACCTACTTTAAGAGTTTTAAATAAGTGATATTATGACGTTATTATTTCATCAACTTAAAGTTATAACGTCAACTCATATACAAAATTATCATGTAAAAACAATACAAAATAAAAAAAGAAGTAATGATCATAATAGATTTGTATTCTACAGTAACATTCCGTTATAAATAAATGAGAAGATATTAGAGTGTAGCATTCTAATGACAATCAGTCTCAGGCACCCTCTGTCGAGGGGGAGCTTTAATGATGTCATCAACACGAACAATCATTTCAGCAGCCTCAGCAGCAGATGTTAAAACACGAGATTTAACTTTATAAGATTCCGTTATACCCAGCTCAACCATATCTCCTATCTGCCCATTAACCATGTCAAGTCCAGCAGTATGATTTCCAGAAGTATGTGCAGCACGTAACTGGGATACCAATTCAGAACTGTCGTAACCTGCATTATCGGCAATAATAGTAGGTAATTGCCTCAAAGCATGAGCAAATGCTTCAATGGCCATAGCTTCTTTTCCAGGTGTCTCAGAAGCCAGTTTGTTAACTGCATTAGCCATAAGCATCTCAGAGCATCCACCTCCATAAACAATTCGAGTTTCTTTAACAGTCTGCTGAAGCACACATAAAGCGTCGTGAAGTGAACGTTCTGCCTCATCTAAAATTTGTTGAGTAGCACCACGTAAAACAACACTACATGCCTCACCCAATTCGACACCAGAGAAGTATAATAATTTATCTTCACCTATCATTATTTCTTCAATACGCTTACAACGACCAAGTTTGACAAGTTCAGGGTTATGAAAAGTTGAAACAATTTCACCGCCAGTCACAAGAGCTAATCTTTCTACACCTTCAAAGTCAGCATGTTCAATCGCCATGACTCCAGCGTCAGCAAAGAGCTGTTCTGGATAATTATAAATTAATTGACGATTAACAAAACAATTAATACCATGTTTTAAAATCAGATTTACTTTATCCTTCATTTTTTCTTTTTCGGCAAGCTCTAACTCGGCAACTTTTGCAACAGAGTCTACTCGTACACGTGAACCAAACACTTTTATTTTATCTGCATCCATAGCAGTATTAGCAATTAGAATTTTTGCATTTTCTATAACTTTAGGTTGATTATTCCCAATTTTTTTCTCCAAAAGAAATCCTTCAGCTAAATAAGAATCATTAAGAGAACCTCCAAGCTTTTTAATAATTTGAATTGCATCTAAATTACCACTTCCTTTTAACCGCAGTACTGCATTTACAGCTAAGGTTGAAAAATGTTCTTTGTGTTGAAACAGAATTTTTGAACTCAAAGTTGTTCTAGCAATGTTCATTAAGTCTTCTCTAAATTTCTCTGGATTCTTACCATTATCTTTAGCAGATTCTTCAAGAGCTTTAGATGCAGCCTTACAAGCTTTTCTCCAACCCTGGGTAATAGTTTGAGGATGTATCTTCTGTGCTATTAGTTTTTCAGCTTCACGAAGAAGTTCACTGGCAAGTACAGCTACACTTGTTGTGCCATCACCAACCTAAAAAAAAATTTGAAAAATTTTTTATCTCATTAAAACACATGCTGTAAGCACTTATAATTCTTTCTCTGAAAGCAATTTTTATATTTATTGCTTTAGAGTTTCTTTAACTTTTTAAGTTTAAAAACTTAACTTAAAACCTGGTAAATTTATTTTAGTATCTGTATACCATTAATAAAAAATTGTGCAAAAACTCTAGTTAACTTAAATTTTTAATTCACTTTATCATTTGAGAGTTAGTTTTCTGCCAACTTGAATCTAAACTTAGTTCTTTAAATACTTAGAAACTTATTGTGTAAAATTAAACATAAATTCTAATTAGCAAATTATTTTTAAGAAATATATACAACCTCAGAATTAAAAAAAGTAAGGTCGGCAAAAAAATTTAATACAGAGGTCTTAGGGGTCGTCCATAAAGTACGTACGCTCGGAGAGGAAGAAGGGGTGTACAAATGGCGTTTCTTAGATACGGGGGCAGTAGATCAATTATAAAAGTATGGAGACGTTAAATTAAAAAAAATACCATAAAATGTTGGGTTGGAAGGTTAAACGAGTAGATACTTTTAGGGAGATAGAGAGTAATCAAAAAAGCGTATGGCAACTAGCGAAGGAGGGAGGGGGAGGGGGTAGCGGGAAAAAAAATATATACAATATGGACGAACCCTTACAATAAAAACATGGAAACGAGGTCGGCAATTTTTTGCCGACCTCAATCACTTTAAGATCAGCAGTTAGGTCAAATCTTTGCCGACCCTGATTCCGAGGGTTGGAAGGTTATAATATCTATATATAATATATAGAGATATTATTTAGATGAATAAAAAATTATTAGTTGGACTTTGTATTATACATGAAGGCAATTATTATCAATCGTGAACATATATATATATATATATATATATATATATATATATATATATATATATATATATATATATATATATATATATATATATATATATATATATATATATATATATATATATATATATATATATATATATGTGTGTGTGTGTGTGTGTGTGTGTGTGTGTGTGTGTGTGTGTGTGTGTGTGTGTGTGTGTGTGTGTGTGTGTGTGTGTGTGTGTGTGTGTGTGTGTGTGTGTGTGTATATATACACACACACACACACACAGCTGCAAAAAATTAAATAGCACCACTAAGCGTATTTTCTTTTTTGTTAAGACAACACCATACAAAATAATTTTTTTTTATAGCTTTGCTATTTGAGATAGCTAACATGTTTATTTTCTAAATTTCAAATCATTTGGGGAAAAAAACTGGTGTTGCTCGATTTTAATAAAAATGCCAATTCTAACCAAAAAAAAAAAAATAGCACCACACACTCTTTTGTTGTAAATTATTCTGATAACAGTAAAAATAATTGTGAAAATAGCAAGCACTGGATTTTTTTTTTTGTGCTGTTTTATTCGTTTTATGCTAGTGCATATTAGTAGGAGACATTTACATATAAAAATGGGATGCGGAAAGCATGGTAGTGCAGAAAAACGAGAACTGATCCGAAAGTTGATATCAGCAGGGAAATCTTATAGAGAAATTGGTTGCTTAGTTGAGTGTTCCAATAAAATGATAAGAAATGCCATAAAATTTCAACAAAAGCCTGAAACACGTGGTCGAAAACGTTTTATTTCAACATTGCTGGCCAACCGCTAAGTCTGACAGGCTAAAAAGGAACCTTTTAAAACAGCTACTGAGATGAAAAAGGACTTTAACATCGATGCAACAATACAAACAGTTCGGAGTTGTCTGCAAGTTAATGGATTAAAAGCCTGCAGCACCAGAAAAGTTTCACTTTTTAGTGCCAGACATGTTGTAAAGTGTATTGCGTATTTTAAAATACACTTAAACTGGCCACTCGAAAAATAGAGGAATATTTTATGGACAAACGAAAGTAAGATTGTCTTTATGGTGGAAGAGGTTCTCTGGCATATGTCAGAAGACCGCCAAATGCAGAATACAATCCATAATATACCATCAAAACTATTGAACATGGAGGTTGTAGTATAATGATATGGGCAAGCTTTTCTTATTACAAAGTAGGGCCCATTTATCACATTGTTACTTTTATGGACCAACATATTTATGTTGATATATTGGATAAAGTGATGTTGCCGTATGCAGACTATGAAATGCCATTGTCCTGGGTGTTTCAACAGGACAATGACCCAAAGCACACTAGCAAGAAGGCAAAGAATTGGTTTGAGGAGCATAAAGTGAACGTTATATAAAGGTTTTGAGATTAATTTACTTATTTCTAACAGCAGTATAAAAATTATTCTTGAAGGCTTACACTATTCTTTATTTTAAGTAACTTTATGGGTACCACAAAGTTCTATATTTGCTTCTATATTTTTTATCTACAATATCAATCTTCATGAAAATTTTACATCTAAAGTGGCTCTATTTATGATTGCTTAGAACAAGCAGTCAATTTTTAATCTGATCTCCTGATCTCACTTCTGGAACAGCCTAAGGCTTGCAGTGCCTTATAGATTTAAATTTTGGACTTGAAATTCACAATTTTTGTTAGAGAACAAAACTCATTTATTTACTGCAAAAAAATATTGCAATGTTGGCATTCCTATATTAATAAATAACAACCCTTTTACTCTCAGACAAAGTCTAAAAGCACATTGTAAATGTAATTAAACCTGTTTTATCTGCCAAGCTTAAGCAATTCTCCCATTGTTGTAAGGTTGCACTTCTTTTTTTTCTCTACAAATAATATCATTTTCAATGCTCAAATGAGCTATCTCTATAACAATAAACCAAAACTCATTTTTATTTGGCTTCTTATTCAACAAGTTGCATCCTTTTACTGTATCTGTCCCTTCATGCTATATATGCTTTTATCAATCCAATTTTTTTCCTTACATATCTTCATGTTTTTTTTTTTATACTACCTACAACTTACTAACCGGTCACTTACTAACACGACCTAGTCACAAATGAAGCATAAACGCATACAGCCTAGTTAATGTATATACTACAAGAGAAGCAGATTGGAACCTTCAAAATTAACTGTAACAAAATATTTGGCTGCCAATTATTCCTTGCTTTGGCAGAGCGAATAATTGGCAAATCACTATTTGTGACATCTCTATATTTTTTATTATACTAAACTTCTTTTATTAGAAAAAAAGAATTAAAAATAAGAATGCACATTATTATGCGCATACATTGATTTTTTTTATGTGCATCTTTAATTATATTTTTTATTTTAATTATTTTCTTTGATAAAATTAAAATATAAATTTATTTTACTAATGAAAAACTAAAGAGATTCAGTGTTATTAATGATTTAACTGTCCATTCATGTGATTCAAAATGTGAGTATAACATTTAAAAAATCATACCTTAGCATTTAGAATTAAAAGAAAATGTAATTTTAAAACTCATTTTAAATTGAAAAGAAACAAAAAGAGCTTCAGGGTTCTCACTATTAAAACTAAGGCGAAATTTAAGGATTTTGAAGGGACTAGCAAGTCCCGAGACATGTTGTGTTCATATTAAAGAGAATGTTAAAAAAAAAACGTCTGAGCAAATTTTTTTTGATTAAAACTAATTAATAAATGTATACCAAGAAAAACAAATCTTGTTGTTTTAGTCGAAGCCCGTCTTCTTCGTTTTCTGTGGTATTTTGAGTATGTAAAATAAACGCGATTTTCCAGGCGCATTATACAGACTTGATAATATATTCAGCGCGTTTAATTCATAGGAGTTTTAGTGCATGACGTCATAGATTTTTTGTTTTGTTTTGTTTAAAACACCGATTGTTATTTTTTACATACAATTTCCAAATCATATTCATTTTTATTATATTTTAAAGTTCTAAAATGTGTTTGTAAAACAAAATTAAAAACAAAATAAAAATTAAAAACAAAAAAATAAATAAAAACAAAAATAGTATTTTATTTGCGCAACTTTTTACAAATAATCGTCTAGACCACGTGTACTTTGATTTCTTTTGTTATAAGTTTTTCTTTCAAAATATTAGAGAAAATAATTTTTAACCTAAATAATAATGCACTTTTATTAATTTATTTTGTAAATATTTAAAAAAAAATTATTAACGCCTTTTTTCTCTGATTTTCAAAAAAGTATTTTTTGGTACTGAGGTGATCTTATTTCATTATTTATATATTTCCATTTAACATCCAATATATATTATGGTGGGGGCTTAAAAATTAAAAAATTAATATATGTTAATTTTTATTTTACAGACATACATGGAAACATAATTAACTTGAATGTTCTTAAAACATCTTGCGGAAGAATAAAAAGAATATTCGCGAACACTAAAAACCCGCCAAATTTGCGAAAAATTGAATTCTATTGGTTCAAAAAACATGCTGACTAAGCGAAATAAAGTTTTAGAGTATTCTGTTGAAATGTTTTAGAAATTGTATTATTTACGATTTGTTGCATTTTGAGATATCTAGTTTAAATTTTTTTAAGAATATATTATCAAATGAACTATTACTTTAATATTATGGCTCATTCTCAGACCCACATCTGTAAAGCCGTAAATCTTTTAAACTATTATCATTTGTTTACAAAAATAAATGTTTTATAATATATATTTTTTAAGTTGTCAAAATTTTGAAAGTTAATTACAAATGATATATTTTATTAGTATATTCTTAATTTTTATATCTTTTCTTAGTGCTTGGTTTAATTAATTGTTCGTTAGATTTGTAAAAAACTAATGAACAATTAATAAAATAATATTTTAATAAAATAAGTAACTATAGCTAGCTATTTTAGTAAAATTTATTAGTAAAATTTTTATAGAATTTCTAGAATGTTTCCAATTACATCATATGCTAAAACTCCTATGAATTAAACGCGCTTGAATAAATTATCAAGTCTGTATAATGCGCCTGGAAAATCGTGTTTATTTTACATACTCAAAATACCACAGAAAACGGAGAAGACGAGCTTCGACTAAAACAACAAGATTTGTTTTTCTTGGTATA